ACCTCACAGTACTCACATACCTCAGGTTCTCAGTATTGTATCATGGGCTATTGAACCTACTGAACTTATTATATGAATTCATGATGATTAAATTGAGAAGAATATTAGTAAGGTACATTGTTATGCAGCTTACATGTATTGCATAGAGGTTTTCATTACATTTCATCGTATTATGGCATCATTATTATATTTCATTGTTATTATTATTATATCTCACTAAGTCTATGACTTAACGTGTAAGTGATTTACACGTAGGTACCAAGAACCAAGATTAGAAAAAATAGAAGTGGTAAAAACAACAACACTGCTAGAAGATCATATCAGAAGTAATTGATAAAGTATGTATTTTGATTATGCATAATATGTTGGCATGTAAGAAATAATAAGTTGTTAGTACGAACGCTCTGATCGACTTTTCTAATGTTTTAAACGTATTTATGTAAATGTATAGTAATGAACGGTTAAATTTTTACGGGTTTTATGTACGTTTTACGGAAGTACTGTAGCAGGGGAATCGGTTCCCTATTTGCAATATAGAAAAATTTGTGTAATCGGTACTGTAGCAATGTATTGTAGAAGGTTACTGTTCATATGTATTTTACTGTTCACAAATATGTTTTTGCCTCAAAATTTTATAACAAATATAATTCAATAGTTTATTATCATATTTTCTTAAAATAAGTTCAAATGTTTTGTTATTTTGTAAGGAAAAGTGTTTTAAAAAGGCAATGTAACCTCTCAGACTCATATTCGGGTCGGGTACGGGTTGGAGGTGTTACACTCCAAGTGCAAGGGAAAAGAAAAGCTCATCATTGGTTGAGTTGAAGGAACTCTCAACAATTTAGAACTCAAGATAACTAACTTCTAACATAGTTCTACCACATGTAGGTCACTAGGTGAGTTTGTTAGCTTGCATGAGTCATGGAACATAATCATGGTAGATTTTAGTGTTTGGTGTTTCTCAACATGTTTATGTATTTATTATGACCCTTATTATAAAAAATAACACTTTAATAATGTTTGGGGACCTCAGTAGGATTCATGAGGGTGTTGGAAAGGTATTTTCATGTCCAAAACAGAGTATTCTAGGCTCGAGTATCGGTACTAGAAAAACACTACTGATATTGTTCATCAGTTGGCTTAAAACAAAATAGTTTTAAGAGGGAAGTATCGATACTCACCCTTAGAGTATTGATACCGTAGATTCATTTTTTTATAGTTACAAGGTAGTATATTTATTGACCATACTTAACAGATTTCAATATGCACTTTTGGTATCGGTACTCATGGGAATATCGATACTGAGGGTAGAGTATCGATACTCCCAGTATGAGTATCGATACTAAGGTATTTGTCAAAACATCAAAGCCAAATTTGGTATCAATACTCTGGACAATATTGATACTCAAACTAGGGTGTGTATATAGCCCTTTTGCTCTCAGTTTTCAATAGTAGTAGTATCGATACCCAAAGGTCAGTATTGATACTGAAGGGATTAATATTGATACCCACGAACAATTTTGGGTAAGAAACCTAAGGGTTTTAAGGGATAAAATTGAGGGACCCGATAATGCCATAATGCCATGAAATAAAACTAAAAACGAGAATAGTAATAAACTCATAACAACTAGGATGGCGTAAAACTAGCATTGTTTTATGCTTGGACACTGTTGGGCTCAAATCGATCAACGGAATAATGCCAAGAGGGGGTGAATTGACCTTTTTAAAAATTTGGTGGGAGCAATCGAAAAAATAAAATTTTTGCACACTAATTTAAAGTGGTTCGACTTTCTCAAACAAAGTCTACATCCACTACCTTAGCATTCATACTAAGGATTTCTTAAATCTACTTGATTTGCTTACCTTTAAGGACAAGGGGTAACCTTATAAAAACTTCAAGGTTTATACCAAAAACCTTGAATACACGCTTTCCCAAAGAGTAAATACAAATGAAGCAAATAAAAACAAAACCTCACAAGGCAAATATGTTTGCACAATTTAAGCACTCACCCAATGTACACTTGAGCAAAATAAACAATGTATCTCAAAAGTGTGATTACAACAAAGAATTTGACAAAACAAGCACAAAACAAAACTTTGTTGTTGGTAGGTTGGTTCAATATGTTTCTTGTTGACCTTGGGAAGCTTTGACCTTAAATTTATACCTTCTCCATTAATTCAAGTCGTTTGGAGCCGTTGGGGATCATTATAGGCATTACCTACAAGCAAAAATAACATTTAATGCATATGGGATCAATCATTTTGTGAAAGGGATCGATCCTTCTAGTGAATGGATCGATCCTTTTACTCGATGGGTCAATCCTTTTTGTAAAGAGATCGATCCCAAACCTACTGGAATCTAAGGGATTGATTCTTTTTCAAGGGGATCGATCTTTTGGTCAAAGGGATCGATTCATTTTCTAAGGGATCAATCATTTGAGCCAAAAAAGCTTGGAAACTTGACTTTAAAGCACGAAAACGATCGAGTAACTTTCTGAAAATGTTCGACTAAGTTGAAAAACATTTAAAACATACTTTTCAAGTAAATTTGGACTTTGAATTATTTTTGATAAAGTTTTGATCAATTCACTTAAGTCCAAAATCAATTTTAAAAATTATTGTTATATCAAAATCTTAATTCAACAAACATAGTCAAGACACCCGAGTTACTTTAGTATATATAACAATCGTACATTTGGGATATCTCAGTCAGTGCCAAGGCACTTTAGCTACCAGTTGAGCGCAGATGCCCCAAGACTCGACAGAGTAAGTTGGTCGGGTGTACGTTTCTGATGCAGTTAGTAGATAACAATCGAATATAGGAAGGCTAGAGGAGTGTGTGGGCTCCGAGATGTAAAACCCTCAACCACACCATGATGCATACCTCAACATGTCAAATTAGTATTTTGTCTTCATACCTATACCTCTAGCACACACATTTAGTGAATGCATGTAGTATAGTATAGTTATTAGTGAGACACTGAGCACATAAGCTTAGCGTTCGGAATGTGTTTTCGTGCCCAAGTTCTTAAGAGGTCGTCCGTGGAGTGTTATCGACACCAGATATTCCAACACAGTCGAGACTTCAAAGTACGTCTTGATCTATATTAGAGGGCATGTACTGTTGTAGACCCTTTATGTATTTAGTTGTAACTCTATTTTGATTTAACTCAGTGTATTTATTTTAGATGATTTATGAGCTCCCTATATTTTGTAAACTTTGATTATTACGTTTTTATTTCATTTATCTTGGATGGATTTTACATGATGTTTTATAGTGTTTTAAAAGGAAAATTTCGGGTTACCCACCTCAATGGTCTCGTATGATACTTTAATTTTTTGGTCTTCGAGTCGAGCTGGATTAGGGCGTTACTAAAGTCTAAAGACCTGATTTTTATTAAATTTTTGGATAACTCAAAATTAAAATTTAGACAATATATATGATCCAATTAGTTTTTTTAATATACAATTCAAAATTTCTAAAAAAATAAAAATAAAAAAATATATCGAATATCTGAATTTTTATATAGATTCAACGAATTTGATCGACCAGATCAATTTTTTACACACCACACCCCTAATAAATTCATATATTTCCCCTAATAATGGTAAGGTTTTTAAGACAACATAAAACGAAACTAACACATAATTCTCACAACATAAACATGTATTGTTGAGATTGTTGGTTATACTCCACTACTTTTATTCCTTCCCTTCCAAGTCTTATTATAATCATCAACAAATCGTTGCTTGTTTTCACTACTTTCTTCTATTACCATAACAAATTGTTGGAATAGGAGCCTGTGTTTCCGTTACATCTCATAATTTTAAGGCTTAATACATTTTTAGGTGCCTAAAATAGACCTCAAATTGATTATTGGTACCTAAAGAATTATTCATTAAAAATAAATACATAATATTTTTCCTTTATACTTTTAAGTGTCTACCGTTAGAAAAAAACCGTTAAGTGACACGTGTCACATTCATATTTTTTAAAAATATTTTTAAATAATATTTTATTTTTTGAAAAATATAAACATAACACGTGATACTTAATGGTTTTTTCTAACTATAGACACCTAAAAGTGTAATAGAGAAAATATTAGACACATATTTTTAACAAATAATTCTTTAGGCACCAAAAGTCAATTTGAGGTATAATTTAAGCGCCTAAAAGTAAATTAAGCCTAATTTTAATATGTATCCTATTTGTATTTTAAATTTCAATACGTATAAATAATTTAGAAAAAAATATGTATTTAGTCATTCAACTATTCTATCAGTTCAATTTTGTTCATTCAACTACTTTTTGTTTCAAAATCATACCTAATGTTATATTTTGATTTTATTTTGGTCACTAACTGTTAAAAATAACATACTACTAATGTATCTTTTTTTTTAATTTTTCAATGATGATGTGAAATCATCTTATAGTGATACGTCAGCATCACCGATAACTTTTTAACGGTGGATGAACAAAACAAGACCAAAACATAACGTTAAGTTTGATTTGTGAAATAAAAAATAGTTTGAGTGACCAAAATAAAACTACACAAATAGTTGGATGACTTAAATACATAATTTACCCTAAATAATTTATATAAAATACGGCATACGATAATCATTCACGCATCGACAACAACAAATTCAATCTCATCATTCATTCTAGAGAATAAAAAAAGATAGTCGGCCAAGACAGGCAAAGGCAAGAGATAAATGTTTAACATGGTCGGTTATAGGGGGCTGGTAGGGTTTGGTCCTTTTAAATTGCTAAATTATACATAAGTCCCTTTAAATATTTTTAAATTATAAATTAGTATTATATGATAATATTACGTTTGGTAAAATTACGAAATTTGATTTCTTAAATTTCAAAATTTTCCTATTTGTAGACTCTCTCGCCACGTCCTCATCTGTTTCCTTTGCTTTCGGGTTTTCCTATTTCAACTTTTTTTTTTTATAAATACTTAATAATAAATTTTCTTTTCTTCTATCTTCATAACTCCAACTAACTCTTACTTCTCTCCTTCTCATCTGATTTTTTTTCTGGCGCTTTCTCTCTCTGTCCTCCTTTTTTTCTCGGGAATATTCGAATGCGTGATTTTTTGTTGTTGCTATAATTACTTATTATTAGGCGTCGTTGGGCGGGACTGAGAATATACAATTTAAAGTAATTAAGGATGCAAGACGGCGTCGCAGTCAATGGAGTTTGCTCATCGGAGTCGGTGAATGGAAGTCGAGATGTTTTCAGTTGTAAAGATTCTGATTCTTTATCAGCTGATCATCTTGTTGTCATGGTCCACGGAATTCTCGGCAGGTGCCTTTTCTTTCCTTCTCTGTTTTGAATATTTCTGTTGAATTTTGAGATGTTCTTTTGAGTTGGATTTTGAATGCTTGAATTAGTTTATTTGTAGGTTAAATTTGTATTATGATTAATTACTTATTAGTTGTACTCTGTTTTTGGAGTGAATTTTGGTGAACTTATTAATAGTACTTGTATCATGATTATACACATTTTATGCTTGGTTTGATTGTAATCGGATTAACCTGAAGTGATTAAAATTAAAATTTCATGATTTTGAGAGGAGCTTAACAAATGTTGAATCGAAATTGAAATTTTTCTGGTTTTGACTTTTTGCTTGTACCACCAATATCTTTGTTTTTAATTCTGTGATGTTAAATTGTGTTAAGTTCTATACGAGATTTTCTAGGATTAATATGATTAAAAGTACTCCTGAATTGGTTTTGGCCCTGGTTTAATTGTTTCTTGTGCAGTTCTTCGGATTGGAAGTTTGGAGCCGAACAATTTGTTAAAAGGCTACCGGATAAAGTATTTGTCCATTGTAAGTACGATTTTCTTAGGCACCTTTTTTTTAAGAGAAAAAAAGGTTCCTTCTCCTTGTTCTTACCTTGTTAGATTGTTGGGATGATAGTGCATTAATGATTTCATAGTGGTATCGATAACCATTAATTTGTTTTATTTATCCCCCAAAACCCACACTTTTCAGCATGTAATTTTAGTAAGCTTTTAAGTATTGAAGTATTTGAGATCAGCAGTGTTGATGTTTAAGTTTTTGGCTGGAGTATATCAGCTTGATTCATGGTTGATTAACGTGTTCACAGGCAGTGAACGGAATATGTCTAAGCTGACTTTAGATGGTGTGGATATAATGGGTGAACGATTGGCGAAGGAGGTGAGCACATATTTTGTAATGTCCTATTTAGGTCGTCAAAATTGGTGAAATTTAACATTTAAAATAAAACTACCAATTTCATATTAGAATATGTTGTCAAGAAAAATGTTTGAATGCTAGGTCCTTGAGATTATTCAAGAAAAGCCAAATTTATGCAAAATCTCTTTGGTTGCGCATTCTATTGGAGGATTGGTGGCTAGATATGCGATTGGGAGACTCTATAGACCACCTAAGGGAGAAGCTAAAGAGGATACATCAGGTAATGGATGCAAGGAGGAAGTGAGGGGAACAATTGGTGGCTTGGAGGCTATGAACTTCATCACTGTTGCATCTCCTCATCTTGGTTCAAGGGGTAATAAGCAGGTAGGCTTTTTACATGAAAATATGTATATGCATGTAATATGCAAAACAAATTACTCATTCGTTCTAAGATTGGTGTGTCAAGGTGTTTATTCCTACATTACTGACTTTTCCTGTTTTCCATATGGTGATTTCATAACTTTTTAGTTGCTTCTGAAATTATGTTCCAAAGTAGATGGCTTTTGTTTACTGTAGTAGTTTCTTTGTTGTAAAGCAACATACCTTTTTTGTATTAATTTTGCTTCCTATGCAATATATTATCCCTCGTCAATGTTGCTATGTCAAGGATATTAGTCATCGTTTTGCTTATTGGTGTAGTAAAATATTGTTTCCAGGTACCATTTCTTTTTGGGGTAACTGCTTTTGAGAAAGCTGCAAGTTTTGTTATTCATTGGATATTTAGGAGAACAGGTCGGCACCTTTTTCTTACCGATGTTGATGAAGGAAAGCCACCTCTGCTTAAGCGGTTGCTGGATGATTCTGATGAGTTATATTTCATGTATGCAACTTCCCCCTTTGTCTAGATTTCTTTCTATATAAAATTACTTGAGATATCTTGCATTTTTGTTCTGGATCTGTAAATGTGGCTGAAATAGTTGGGAATTCATCTGTGCAGGTCTGCTTTACGTATATTCAAACGCCGGGTTCTGTATTCCAATGTGGCCTACGACCGTATCCGATTTACATCTTCTGTGCGACTTTAGTTTAACTTTTCCTGATTTTTGTCAATTTGATTTTATTTGTTTCTTTTAACTGAATATTCTCTAGATATTGTGGGCTGGAGAACCTCATCAATAAGACGGAACAGTGAACTACCAAAGGTATCATCGTTGTGAAGGTTTTTCATTTGACTTCTTGTTTACTACTCTTTTGGATTGAAGCTGATGAGCAGAAACTTGTTTTGTTATCAGTGGGAGGAATCTCTAAATGAAACATATCCGCATATCGTCTATGAAGAACACTGCAAGGCGTGCGACACTGATCAGGATGAAACTGTTTCAGCAGAGGATTATGGGTCATCTGACCAGCTAGAAGGTATACGAATTACAAACTAAACTAAAGAACGCAGAAAGTACACTTTTGCTAATTTTAGTTTCTTTTTGCTGGTTGCCTCCAGCATCCCAAGTTCACTACTTTGCTTTCCCAACTCCATTAATCGGATAATGTTGTGCAGAGGAACTGATCAGAGGCCTATCCCGAGTTTCATGGGAAAAAATAGATGTTAGTTTTCACAAAAGTAAACAGAGAATTGCTGCTCATAGTGTTATACAGGTCTCTCTCTCTCTCTTTCTCGCCGGAGATAATAAGAGTTCATATATCGTGCCCGAGATCAATGAATACCATCAAAAGCAACTTTCTTTATTTCTTCTGAAGGTGCATGCTCCCATTCTGCGTACGTTTTTACAGGTTAAAGATCAAGTATTGCATATTGAAGGTGCAGATATAATCCAACATATGATCGATAAGTTTCTTACATGATGCAATCTTCTGTTAGGTAAGACAAGATTGATTCACTTCTGAGCTTCCTATATTTGTCGCCTGTTAAGTTATCGCTTGCCGGTTGAATGGATCAATACGCACGCTGGTTGATAAGGATGATTATGACAACTATGATTAATTCAGCAGTCATTTAGAAACTCTGTTCATTCATTAATCATGTTTAGTTTGCTTGCTAAGAAATATGGAAATGGGTAAAATGCAAAACCCATTAGTCCGTGATTCAGCAATTAGCATTTACATGGTTCTGCTTAACATTTCTTGATGAAATGATGATAAAAAGCCTTGATACTTCCTATTTTGGTCGTTCAAAGGAAAACTCTAAGATTTGAGGAATTTTGCTAGAGGAGAAAATATACAAGTGGAATAATCGAACAAAAAAACAACAACAAGTAAAAATATAATATTACTTTAGTATCATGGAATTGATTATATACATTTTTCTTCTCTTATATATTACAATATGGAATATGAACATATTAATAACATGGGAAAATGGAACAACAATAGAATTATGCATTTCATATATTTTCAAAATTTATGAAGAATATTGAGGCAGAGAAAGGAATAGGGTGATTAGGATGATGGGGGCTCTTGGGTAGGCATTCGAGAGTTTAATGGGATAGCATCAGGAAAGCTTTAAGCTGATCATGTATGGTTGGCAACTTTTAAAGCTGCTGTTTATTTTTGTGTACTTATGCTAAAGTATAAATAAAATATTAGGGGGTGTTTGGTTCAAGGATTGTGGGATTCCCATGTGATGGGAATCTCACATTCCCATGGGATGGGAATCTCACATTCCCATGTTTGGTTAGCCGGGAATCTCATTCCCGGTAATGTTTTATTACCGATAGTAGATTTTTTGGAGTATATTACCGAGAATGTCATTACCTCCCTTCCCTTAGGTATTGTAATATTACCGGCGTTTTGGACTAAAATGCCCTTAAATTTTTATTTTTTTTTCAAAAATATCATTCTTCTGTCATTGAATAATAAAAATTCTACGAAGGTTAAATTACAAATTTATCCTTAAATTATTTTAGATTTACAAAAAAAATCTATAATTAAAATTTTATATGAAGTTCAGGGGTTAAAAAAATTTTACCCTTTCATTAAACCTTTTTTATATTTTTAATTTTGTAAAAAAAATTATATAAATATTATGAATTTAATTTTTTAAAGAAAATATATAAATATTTTACAATTTGTAATATTATACAAATATATAATAAGGACAATTTGGTTAAATATACATTCCAATAATTTTTTATTCCTTTAATCAAACATGGTAATATTGCATTCCTGCTAAACAAACCAAACACAAAATACAACATTCTCAATAATCTTATTCCGTGGTAATCTTACATTCCGTGAACCAACGCACCCTTAGGGTATTCTTTTCTTCCATATGCTATCAGGGTTCTTCTTGGTACGAGGGAGGTTTTAACGAGGTCACTCTTTCTATCAGAAAAAATATATATTCAAAAATTTTCTCCTTTTGCTATCAGAGTTCTCCTTGACATAAGAGGTGTTTTAACGAGGTCCTTCTTTATATCAAAAAAATATATATTTTTTCAAAATTTTATAGTGAATAAATAGTTCTAAGAACTTTTTTCAGGCTATACGGTGATCATGTGGAGACCTCTCATTGATGTTTTGAGTTGTCTCAATGTTGATGCATCGGTTGATAGCAACATTGGCCTTGGTTCAATTGGTGGAATGATCCGTACGAGTATGGGTGATTGGCTCGTTGGCTTTCATAAATCTCTAGGAATAATATAACCTTTTACGGTTGAACTTTGGGGCATCTATATTAGACTTCATAATGCGTGAAATCCTTGCAAATTCAATCTGACAATTACCAGGCACTCTTTAATCCTAATGCAGGTCATGCCACTCTCCATTTGGTTCGTGCTATCAACATCATTCGCTCTTGTAGTTGGTATACAGAATTTCTCTGGGTTCTCTATTAAAAAAAACATGATTGCCATTGGAATGGTTAAATTTAATCTCTCTTGAGACTATCGGACGCGTACCTTTTCTGTTGCTTCGAATTCCAACCTCCCAATAGTTGAAAGAGATATTAAGGTCCTTACGTTAAACTTCTTTGTCATTAGTAAGGCTTTTGCCTCTTATCCCATTAAAGAAAATGAAGTTAAAAATGAAACGACGTTGATAGTTTAAGGATTGATACAAAATATTTTGAAGTTTAGAGATTAATTTAAAATATAAATCATAATTTAAAGATTAAGATGAGATATTTTAAAATTTTGAAACTAATTTAAAATGAGATTATAATCTTATACAATTACCTTTTATATAAGAAATATTTGATATAATGATAATTCATATTATAATCTCAAAAGGAAAATATAAATTTAAATATTAAATTATAAATCGAACATGAAACATAAAAAGATTGGGCTTTAGGCATCCTTTTGAATGCTGTGCTCTACCTATATTTACACTAAAGAAAGGCATTTGAGTTTATATAACCTCAAGCCCAAACCATGGATGTGGAGATAACGGAGATAATAAAGGCCCACCAAACGTTTCATTCTTATCTTCACTATCCCCAACCCCCGTCCAATTCGACGACGTTGCACTCACCGCCACCGCCTCCTTGGGGGCCTCTTCCATCAACTCCTCCCTTTTCACTACTTGACACTCCAACTTCACTCTCTTTTCTTTTTTCTCCCTCCTCTTCGCTTCTTCTCCTTTTCCTCGAAATCGAATTATCCTCTGATATGGAGGAATTCGATTTGCCAGCTTCAAGAGGGAAATTCAATATGGCTTTGCTCCCTCGCAGCTTAAACTCAGCTCTTTCGTACGCTTTTGCAGCTTCAATGGCGGTGTCGAAGGTTCATAGCCAAACCTGCGCGCCTTTCTTGTGAGGGTTTCTGTTTTCAGCCGCGAACTTGCCCCACGACCGTCTTTTAACGCCCCTGTAATGCCTTTCCTCGCACGGTTCGGCCGCGTAAACAGTGGCCGGAGGGATGGTGAGCGTGGATTGGTTTGGGGTATAAACAAGTGATGGGTCGGAAACCATGAAGGTTTCAATGGAAGCAAAATCGGCGAGGAGATGCTGCCTTATGAGTTGCAACTGAGCTGATGCTTCTTCTGAAAATCCCATTTGGATGCAAAGAATCTGAAGTGGGTAAAATATGAAAATGGATGTCAGATAATTGAGAAAGAAAAGCGATGGATTTTCAGTGCAAAAGAGAGTGGTGGTTTAATATTTATAGGGAAGAAGATGATCAGCTTCGAGGAAGTATGTGCCAGGCAGTTTTGTAATACCCAAAATTTTGGTTTGCGGTTAAAATGTAAAATTTAAAAGTTTGATAGTCAAAGTATAAAATTAAAAAATAATATTTATTCTATTAATAGATAGTTTACTCTTGAGTGGGGTTTTATTAAAATCAGATTATTGATCTGAAAATTTTGTTAAAAAGTAGAAAGTGTTAAAGCATGGTAAAAATTCGATAAACAGATCGAATAAAAATTTTGAGAAAATGTAGTACCCAACATTGAATTAATGACTAAAATGTAAGAATTTAAAATTTAATAGTTTAATTAGAATATATTAAAAAGTTTAAGGACTAATTTTAAAAAAATTATGACTTTTTAGTAAAGATGAAAGAATGAAAGGACAAAGAAGTCTTTTTAGTAGGATATGAATTTAATATTCTTTTATATGTTATTAAGCATGTGGGGAATTAAGGTTAAAGGAAAAGAATTGTCTGGAAGCCTTATCTTCTCTTATCCTTTCTTCCCAGTAAACCTCATTGTCAAGGTAAGTTATGTTTAAGTTATGTTTCTTTAAATTTTGGGTTGGTTTTGAAGATTTGAGTAGTATAGAAGCTTGAAGAAGCTTTAATATGAATAGAAATTAAGAGATTGTAAATTATTGATGAATTAGTAAAATGAGTTTTTTAAGGAATTTGATGATATGGATTAGTATTTGGATTTCTAATGATATATTTGACTTGTCAATGGTTTAATTAAGAAGTTAGAAGTATTGAAAATGATTAAGAACATGTTTGGATATTTGAGGTGACTTTTAGTCCTAATTGTTCTATGGAGAAAATTTGATGTTATAAGAGGATTATTGGACATAAGTTGTGTGGTATAAGTGCTAAAGAGTTTAAGGGGTTATTTGGAGTTAAAAGTAAGAGATTTAGGTGAAATTTTAGAAAAATTTGAAGTGAAAAATATGAATTATGGGTAAGGGTATTGGTACTGAAAGAATAGTACCGATATTATAAGGGTAAATTGCTGGAAAAAGGATGAATCGGATGATCAGTATCGATACTGATTGAAGAGTATCGATACTAATGTAGAGGTATCGATACCAAGAGGAAGGTATCGATACCGTAATCGAAAATGAAATTCTAGAATGCTAAAATGGTATCAATACCGAAGTGGGTATCGGTACCATAGAAGAGAAGTATTGATAATGTTAGGGGGTACATATTGATATGTAGATTTGGATCGAAAGAGTATCGAAAGAATTGTTATAGTACGAGATTGATCGAAAGGAAAAAGGCTTTCATTTAAGACTTACATGAGGCAAAGGTGAGTGCAAATTTTATATTTTTATATTAGATAAGAGGACGGCTTGTGATAAGCCAACCTCAAAGTTTTCGATCGAAAAAGTTTATTTATTTTATACAATTATTTTTATTATACTTTAGATAAAGTGTATTTTCAAAATATTGATTTGATTCTATATGTATATGATTATGCTATATGTATGAAAATACTCTATGTTCTATGCAAACGCAATCTAGTGAAAGTGCCATACTCTATGAGAATAATACACACTTTGAATAATGAATTGAGAAATAATTATATAGTTAAAGCCCAAGGTATATGTATGAGAATTAGAGGTATAGTTGGCATGCCAAGAGTCGAGGGTTCTATGCGGTCCTTCGGGACAAACCTATGTGGTCCTTCGAGACAAAACTATGTGGTCATTCGGGACAAATATGTGGCACTTCAGTGCAAATTATGTGAGCAGTGGTGACTACATTAGTGCATAACCTCAATGTACTCAAAATCCTAGAGTTCTCAGTAGTATGCATTGGGCTATTAAAAACAAAGTCATGTAACCGAGCCATGTGTAAATGTATACATTATTGTCAGGAAATGTAAATCGAATTCCTTATGAAATGTTTTTATGAGATGAATATGAAAATATTTTACAATGTT